TAACCTACTGTACAGCAGAGCGACATCCACAACTTACCCGCTTTTTTTTCTTTAATAATAAATTCATTAAAATTCTGATTTTTGGAATTTTTAAATATACTCAAAGATCAGATTTTCAAATTTCTGATATTTTTGTTCTACTTATGACGTGTTCTGTAGTGATATATAAATGTATATATTATTTTAAATTTTACTATAAATTATTTAGTAGATATTTTTTTGAAAATGTTGATGGGTCTAATTCAAAATCCAAATGATTAGTTTTTTAGTTATCAAAATGATTGTACTAAGGATAATAATTATTGTCCTTAAAAATGACTTTCAAAAATAAATTAATACAAATAATAAGCGTAATACTTATTGGAATTAGTATTTATTATACTTGGGCCATTTATCCAAGTTAAAAATATTGATAGATTAGTATAGGTAAAATAATAAAATATTCAAATACTAACCATTGACCCCATAACCAAGAACCATTTATCTTTAGAACACAAAATTAAATAATTCAAAACTATTCGTAGGAATTTTTCAGTTGAAAAGGAGTGCTTTAATTTAAAAAACAGAAGTTTGTAACTCAAAACGAGAAGTTGGACAACAAAATCTCAAGAATTTGAAAATATATTTAAAAATTACAAAAACAATATTTTGTATAACTAAATTTTGAAGAGAAAAAGAGGTCAGAGGGTGAGCATGCTTGGCGAATCACCCTGTATGACTGTATATATATATTTACGTTTGCCGAAAAATCATAAGTAGGTATACGTATACCGGTGTTCAAGTATTGGGGCAGATACCTAATATAAACGCATTATTCGAAAACGGACTTGCCAAAAAAAAAAATACTTTCTCTTCCAGCTATTATAACTACAGTAGGTGCCTATATAGCTATATTTGAACCAAATTTAATCGGTGTCATATCATTATTATTATATATTCGTCGTCGTCACAATAACGTAGGTACTATATATATGTACAGTGTATCCCAAAAGTCAAATACTCCCTATAATGTTTTTCCATAGTAGATCAACATTTTAATATTATTGTTATTTTGTAAATTTATTAGTGCTATTATTAATTAGATTTTTTTCTAAAAAAAAATTGAATTTATGTAATATATTATATCGAATTGCAGAGACGGGTACGAAAGGCACTTAGGATGACTTTTGTCGCATACTGTGTTATCTGCATATCAAACTGCAGAATTTCGCATAAATATTAATGCGTATATTTCACGTTCACGTCTATACTTGTTTTATAACCACGGGCCGTGGCGAATAAAACAAATACTTATACGGCGATACATATTATTATTATGTGTCATGAGACGCGACGATTTCACACGCGCGTAGCCGATGAGAAGTAGGAGACCACGGAGGACGCAGACCGCATATATTGGAATATCATAATATACAAAATCGTAATAATAATAATAGTAGTATAACGACACGATAGGTATGTGAGTATATTATACTAAAATAGGTATCCTTTCCACTGAATTTCATCGCGGAGGACTTCTTCTTCGAGTATCCAACCGGATGTCTTATCACCGTTCACTAACGATATATATCTGTAGATACCTCTTCCTATACGTATATATATATATATATATATATATTATATACCTACATTATAATTGTATATAACATACTTGCTTTGCGTGTGCGCATGTATGTGTATATATAAAACCGTATAACCCACTTACCATCACCGTGATCACGTGAAAGTATTCGGTCAAGGTCCCCCCCGGGTACCACGGCCACGGTCGGTCAATCAGGTACCCGTCGTATATACCTACTAGTGCACGTATATCAATTTTCTATTCGTTTTATACGCGTCGATCTAAGCGTTCGGAGGGCATTCGTTTCGGATGTCGCGATCGTATTCGAACGTCGTCTCATTCACACTCGTCATATCAAGGAATCATTGTCATTATTTCTATCGTTTTATAGGCGGTGAACCGGCATCTCACATATATCACGATATCGCATACACTGTACCTATAGTTGACGGTCGTCACCGGCGGCGTCTCGTCTTTATTTAGTCTTTGCCGTCGTCTCACGCCGTTCGGTCGACACAATATAATAACTATAATTTACAATAAAATACCTATCGCATTTCCGGAGCGGCTTTTCGATTCGGCACAAGAAAAATGTCACTCTCCACATGCGGTCTCGCCGTTTTTGCGTGCGTCGCGATATTTGTATTGCAATGTGCTGTCGATTCGACTGACGCTTTGCCGACCACAGATCAATCGCTGGAGTCATCCACACAGTTGCCGCTGTCATCAAGAGACACCGAAGACGAAGTACTCGGCACGAGTGCTCTTACCACTTCATCAACCGGTGTAGAGGTTGGTGATTATGCGGTTAAGGACACGGCTTTGGGTAAATATAAAATAACGGTTACTCCGATATGTATAATATAATATTATAGGTACCTATGAAATGTTGTTCAATTATATCTATACAAACATATTTATATAAATACTAAATACCATCCATGAGAGAAAATAAAATAAATAATTGTATAGCTAATGGCCTTAGTCGCCGGGCTTTAGAACAATAGAAAAAAAATAATTATATTACCTATAATCTATATCCTTTGGATTGTGATATTAAGAAATATATATTTTACTGTTTTTTAAATCTATAATGTATTACATTTTTTGAAAATAAGCTGCCCACCTCTATAATTGAATAATACATCTTTATAAATAATACATACATATATACATTTAAATTAATTTGATTATTATAATATATTATAATACATAGGTTTAAATCGTTTGTTTTTGATTACAGTGGACAGTGAAAAAGGCCACGTCCATAAGCCTATTAAAAAAAAGAAACCTTTGGGCAAACACAAGAAGAAAAAGCATTCGTTTAAAGATAAATTTTTGCCTCTGCTTCTAATACCATTTGTTATTCAAACAATGCTCATACCGTTTTTCATAATGAAACTGAAATTGTTAGCTTTGAAAGCAATGGCAGTGGGCAAGTTTGCGATTCTGTTGATCGCTTTTAATATGATGCGTAATTGGTCACAAAATGCACACAGTACTTCGATTCGTGGATCATCTGGGGTAATTATTAATACTGTCTGACATTTAATTACATTTAACATAACTGCAATAGCAAGCCACATTAATTAACTAATTAAATATTTTAAATCGTGTTGTAGGATTCACTGCTCATGGCTCAAAATTACGGTTACAACGGTGTTCCAGAATTCGGCGCAATATTTAATGGCCGTTAGTAATTGACCGACTTTTGTAGTGCCTAATAATTTATTAAATTTATAATGCAATGCTCTCTGCACACGTTCAACGTCGGAGGTAGTGCTATATCAACATAAGACTATTTATAAACAAAATCACCAATGATGTATTAGATTAATGACTATATATTATATTAATGAATGTAATATCTCGTAAGGTATATTACCTACATTTTATGATATTGTATTTTATCATTAACCATGTCTCAAAATTAGATTCTATTTATGTGTTATTTTGTGCCTTATATCTTTATTTTAATATTGTCATAATTATCATAAGTTATTATGTAGAACTACTTACTATAAAATATAAAACTTTACATTTTGTATGTATATTATTGCTACCATGTATAACTATCGGTGTAAAATTATTAATTTGTTAATTTAATAAATAAAAATACGAATTAATAACAGTAAATATAAACAGGGAGTTATGCTAGTATTTATATCTGTATTTACTGACTCACTAATAGATAGAGCTATAGCTATACAATGTATATCTTTTTATATAAATATTAATTTTGAATTGGTAAACGACTAGTGTTTATACAATATCTGCAATGTCTAGATGCCTAGTTTATCTATATTAAACCCTATAATTTAAACTGCAGTCGACGCTTATATTATGTAGTTTATTTCAATAAAATGTTATTATAATAATGATACAGGGGTAAAATTAATAAAAGTAGTTGCATTTTAGATAAATAATAAATATTAATAATTAATAGTCATAAATTATATGATACTATTTATTATTCATGTATCGTTTTTATACTCGAATGGATACGTATAGATAAACTGGTGCCTGTATTTGTACAAGAACCATTTATAAGACAAGTATAGTTGTATACATAGACAATAGATAGGTTTACCTAAAACTATTCAAGCTCAAGTGATATACTAAAAAAAAAATACCTAACATTTACATTACATAATTATATATTTGAAAAATATATCATTTTAATAATACATACTTTTTAGTTTTAAAATTAAATAAATTTTAACAAACTGCCTTTAATATAGTATGGCCAGGCTTAAAATGTAATGACGAAGGTAAATATGACTCAATTTGGTACCTAAGTGCATTATATCATGTAAATTTACAAAATACTTAAGCATATTTTAAGTTACTGTATAATAAATATAATATATTTAGCTTTTGATATTCATTCATAGTTATTTCAATAGTTAATAATATAAATAAAAATTACATGTCTACCTATAGTATTTTAAGTACCATTGGTGTCCAACACGTCAATTTCTATTAAATAGATTATAGATAGCACTAAAATAGTTATAATATGTATTTAAATAGTCATTTAAAGCATTATTTTAACGTGAAAAAATACATCCAGAGACACGTTAAAAAATATCGAGAAACTCGCTCTACTGTATTATAATAGCAGGTGTCAAGTGTACCTCGTCATTGAATGGGTCACTGCTGTAATGGATGTATTAAATTTAAAAAATAAATATCATTGCACACAAATAGCGATAATGTGTCTGCTTATATCACAAAGTAAATTGTATAATATCGCTATTAGAAAATTATTATAATTATTTATTTTACTATACTAGTAACACGGTAGGCTGAATTAAATATTGATAGAAAAAAAATTGCATCATAATATAATAGGTACCTACTGTTATTAATTATTATTATATTGTTTCGTATATTATGCTAGCTGATATTAATACGGAAGTCAATAATGATGTTAAGTACTCCCAGTTAAACAAGTTTAATGTTGAATAAGATCATAGTAAAAATAGATAGGTCGCTTAAAATTACCTGATTAAAAAATTTTGAAAATTTAATTCTGAAAAGTACCTTAATAATATTATTATACGCAGTAGAATATTTTTTTGCTTTTGGTATAAAAATTGAAATTTTATGAATTTTTAACATTAATTTGCAGGCTTGTAGCAAACCCACACAATCGGACAAAATATATTATGTCAACATTTTGACTTAAGAGGACCTAAAACCCTCCAATCTTCTTCCATCTTAGTATCTTACAAACGTAGTACATAGCAAAAATGCACTTGTGCGGGACTACTTTTCTCCCTCAGTATTTATAGTAAAATTATTAGAATTCCACAACGCATATGTAAGAACTTTATCTGTGTCATAGCGTCATTATTTATTTGATGGCACAAACCAATAATTTTTAATAATTAAATGAAAAAATAAATATATTTTCTTAAGTTGATAACTTTAATTATATATATGCTATCAAAAAAAAAAAAAAATAATAATAATAACAACGCTATGACGCAAATAATGTTACCTATGCATAGTGGAATTCTAATAATTCTATTACAAATACTGAGGGGAAAAGTATTKTCCCGCACGTTTGTAAAACGGAGACAACGGATGCGGTCATGAAATCTTTTAACAACTTGTAAAAATTAATATTGTGAACATATATTTTTAATATTTTTAATTCCTATAAGAACAACTTTTATAGGTTCTTTAATTACATTTTTAACCTAGCCAAACATTTTCGATCAACACTTTTTTGTAAAAATTTAGAAAAATTATATAAAATTAATAGTTATATACATTTTTATTGTAATAATGTGCAAATTTTCGTAATTTTAAAGAATTTAATAAAAAAATTTAAAATTTAAACAAGTAGTTGAAACGCTCATAAAAATCATAAGACTGTGTATTTTTGATATTTTTATTTTATTTATTTGCCTAGGCTCAAATTATGAAAAAGCTATTACATACTTAAAACGTAGGTTGTAGGAACCTATTAAAAGTTGATCTGATTTACTCAAATATATAAATATATAATACTACTAATTACTAATAGTAAGTGATGTGCTAACAAACTAATATAGGGACTCATTAATAAATAAATTGAAAAAAGATGTAAATATTTCAAAAATGTGTAAATAGTTCAATTTATTTTTAAAATTTTAAATATACAGTTTCTTTATGAGCATAAATCATATTAAAGTAATAAAAATATATAACATCATACTGAAATTTAGCATGTAACAATAATTAATAAACAACCAAATACGTGGACATAACAACTAACACACTGTACATGTAAATAGTATGTCGACATTATGAAGACAGATAATATAATATGTACCATCAAAGTAATTAACAATATTGTCATATCAATACATAAACTAATTTATAGGTGTGGTAAAAACACATTAGTGCGTGACTAGCAAATATATTCTAATTGAGAAAGGTGTCTTATTGAGATGTATAAAATGTTTAATTTGTATGGCTAAGTATTGAGAATTTAAATCAAGGTTTCTCATAAGTAGTCAATGCCGTAACCAAAAAAATCTAAAAAATGTATAATCCACAGTTTCTAAAATTATGAATATCTAAATTTCAAATTTGGACGAAATTAAATATTTTAATAAAGTATATCGATTTTATAGTTGTAATTTAAAAGCCTATGGATATTTGAAACAATTAAATACTAATCCCATAATACCATTATATTTTATACACATCATAATTACTTTTTTAAATGCAATATTTCCGTGAAAAATAATTTAGCCAACTGTATTATCGGAAAAATTAATAGATTACCCAAATTATTTACAATTTTTTACTACAACAATATGGTTAGGTCCATTTCAATCTAAAAACGAGATACAATTTTCCTATACTGTCCATTTTCCTTCACAAAAAAATAAAAGGTTGGTTTCCATTTTTCTCCACATTATTTTCGAATAAAATTATGACTATTTTCCTTCAATATTGATATATAAACTATATAGTTAAATATTAATTAGATATAGTAAAATAATCATTCACATTATATCTAATTTTTCTTTTCTTTAAACAGGTATTAATTGGTTGCTTAAATGTCCTATATAATATTACAATCAATTTATTTATTTATTTTTTGTTATGTATAATTATTTATGCTGACTATTTTGTTATTTTATTAGATTTATTTATTGAAGGAAAATGGTGAAGAATTATTTTTAATTTTTAGAGGAAAATGTCTATGGCCGAAATTATAATACAAATTCAGATTTGTGGTCGTTGTCACAGATCACAGATGTGTGAGGGATGAAAGCCGTATTCACTTTATCTTTTATTTATTTTATTCATAGGTGCAATTTTTGTTCACCATTCTAATTATATAAATACATATTAGTTATGACTACTAATAAGCTACATATGACAATAGTTAAAATGGTAACTAGATTATTTTTGTGTAATCAAAATACAAAAGTAATATTCATTAGTAACATTCTTTTTTCAATTATAATAATGAATTACAGTAACGAGTAACGTTACTTATATCCAGTACTCAACACCAATGGCTATTTGATATTCAATATGATATCTACACGCTACATTAACCTATTACAAGAAAACACATTTTTTTTTCTTTATTGAGATTTTAGCTTCAAAATTATTAAACTATAACATTTGAGTATGAGAAACCTGAATCTCTTGGGGTTTTTTTTTCTCGATATTTTGATTAAAGGAGTTGTAATAAACAATAGTAATATTATGATTTGTTTATTTTAAATACATATATTTATCAATATATAAAGAGGTAGGTACAATTTAAATATACATTAACACAAATTCAAATAAGTAGTAGAAGTATATAATTTTTCCATTTTCAGATTAAAATATAAGTCAACTGTCTTTTATACAAAAATTACTATGTATTAATCATATTTTAAACATAAAATATTTATTTGTTATATCTTATATAGGTATAAKCTCACCATGCAGATATGGATGACAAATAATTTGTAAAAAAGACAGAACATCATTTTTACCATAAATTAGGTGTTGAGTTTGTAAATKTATACATCATATTCATGTTAACTTGATTGAGTACAAATAGATATTTTCAATATTAAAATATTTATTAAATATAAATAGGTAATAGTGTACTACTGCACTATTTAGTATAGTAGTTAGTATAGTATAATAGTTTTGGTTTGTTTATTGCGGTATAAATTGCGTTAATACCTACTTATAAAGTTATAACTATAGTAAACAGCTAGTCCATAATAACTAATAAGTATTCTGTATTTAGTACTAATGTAGTGTAATTGACAAGCACAATTATTGCACGTGGTTAGGCACGAAAACAGAGTTGTGCTAGATTGGTGGGTTKGGATGAGAGGATAATTTGTTTAAAAAAAATTGTTTAAACACGGCCATGTATGATTTGATTTGAAAACTTATTGATTAGTGCCTGCCCCCCTTCAGATATTATGTTTTGTAATGTACCTGAGCATGGTGATATATAATGTCTATGTAAAGTAACTACTACCGCTAAAATTTATCTAATAGGTTAAATAATATAATAATTTGAAATTAATTTTATATAATATTATGTTTATACAATAATTATATGGAACCCGTTTTTCATTCGTATTAAAAGTCGATGGGCGTAACGGACATGTCGTACACATAATTGTATAATAATATCGATATAATTTAAATATAACAATATAGTAAAACCTCCCTAATGGAAATATCCAAATAGCTGACGTATTTTTGAAAACAAACTATAAACTTTCTACAAACTGAACCCTTTGAATGGTGGACAGCATATCTCCACAAACAGCTAGTGGACAACATTTCAGCGACAGAGAGTGTCAGGTATTCAGACTTTCAGAGGTTTCACTGTATTATAACATAACATTGATTATTATCCTAACCACCGGTGATAGACACTATTGCTGACAGTCGTAGACTCGGCGGCGCCCAAATGCAGGCGATTGTCACCGCGATGAACCATCGCGGCGGCGTCGTAGTATTCCTCGCCCGCCCGATTCCAATACGCTCCGCCGCCTCCGCCGCTGTTATAATAATAATTGTTGTTATAGTTATTCAAGTCATCGTCGCCGTCGTCGTTGGCCAGTTGCGGCGGCGGCACCTTCGCATAATAGCCTGACGGCGCTGTATGACCGGGCGAATAGTTAACCATCGATGGCACAGGACCGGGCGCGGTGTGAACATGCACGTGTATGTTTTTATCCTGTGAAGGCGGTGGCGGTTGCGGTTGCGATGAACGGTCATAAGGATCGTAATGGTATCCCGACCAGGACGAAACTGAAGGCATCGGTGACATGTAGGGATTGTGGAACTTGGACAGCTTGGCCACTAAACCGGTCAAGGCTATGATAAGCAGTATCACGCTGATGGTCACGCCCTTGAGGGTGAGCACTACCAAACCGATCAACAGCGTGGTGATCACTCCCAACTTGTACATCATCGGTATCATGATGAACAGTTGCATTCGCCTTCGTCCAACGCCGAAAGTCCGAGTGACTGAAAATCAAAAATTCGAAGATACCACAATATAGACTGGTTATATAGGAGATAAATATAAATAATAATCGTAGGTGGAAATTGGATTCTATAATTAGGGGGGAGAGGATTAATTACTTAAAAGGATTAAAATAAAATATATTGTTTCGCTCGAAAATAGTTAATGTTAGAAAATGATTTATATTTTTAAATAGGTATTTAGCACCAGAAAATGTACAAATTATTTTGTATTTAAAATTGTCTATTCTCCATTTAAATATTTTGATTTATATATTTAAGGTTTGAATCTGTGGTAGAATTATATCACTCAAAAATTGTTCTTACACCAATTTGAAAATATTGAAAAGAAATTTTTGCCTTCGCGTTAGTTTTCTGTTTCTGTTGCTCGAAGTTATTTTTTCATAGGCTTTATATATAATATATATAATATACCATAACCATAGTTATCTAAATACGTACGACAATTAATTTCTTTTTAATTTTATATTTAATTTGTTTGAATTCAAACCAATTTTGTAGTAGTTTCTACAATTTATTTTGAAAATTATGATAGTTAGTCGCTACCAATTGCGTAGCCAGGATTTTGGAATGGGGGTGAGAGCGAAACCAAAAAGGAACAGCAACTGTTTTATTATCTAATAAACAGAAACTAATTGATTAAAAGTTATAACATAACTTATTAATGTCAAACAAATAAAAAACTGTACGACTACAGCAATTTTTTCTAAAGCTTTTCTGAATACTGGTTATCAGGGCTCGAGATTTATAGCACTTAAAATCATTAAAATAAGCGCTTAAAAAGCTCTTAAAACATCATTATAAGCACTCAAATAAGCATTTAAAAACTTAAATTTTTGACATGATATTTATCAAAAAACAAAAAAATTCTAATTAAAAAATCAAACAAAATAAAAATAAATCTTTATCTTTATGTTATAAAATAAATTAAATGTAACTTTCGATACTTTAAGGATTTTATGAATTTTCCGAGGGATTTTCTGAAAAACGAAATGTAAACGATATTTATAATAGTCAAAAACATCATAAAAACGTAGAAATGGTAAAATAAGCAAAAATAATCAGAAAAATGGAAATAAGCATTTTTTTGAAAAATCGCTAAAATAAGCAAAAAAAAACATTTTCAAACTTTATAATTAAACGTATTATAATAACATGACATACACTTCTATAGCACTATGCTACATTTTAAGTCAATCCATAAAAATAAGCAAATGCTTTAAGTCCCGAGCCCTGCTGATTATAATATGTAAATATAATACGTCAATAGTGAGTGGAGGGGTGGGAGTGTCGAATTGCTTCCCTATACCATGGCTTAGGTTAGGTGCGTCCAGTTACGCGAAAGCAAACAGTCCGCCCCTGTCAATCGGTGGAAAAAAAAAAAAAAAAAAAAAAAAAAAAAAGGTGCGTCCAGTTACGCACTGGTTGCGTCCATAAAAAGCTTCAAAGAAAATAAAGACTTTTTCAGTAAAATATTTGTACTAATATTATTTAGAAAATATAGTATACTTTTCTGTTAATATCTTGAAGATTTATAAAAGTAAATAATATAGCAGTTATTTTTTATTTGTTTTTAGGGGAGCTTAAATAATTTAATAATTTAGTATCATCATAGGCGCCGACTCCACGGGGGCTAAGGGGGCGATCGCCCCCGTACATTGATTTAACGGGGGCAAAAGTATTATTTCGCCCCCGTGCCCCGTTGTGTACAATAATAATTATGTGGTTAAAATATCAGATTATAACATGAAAATATTCATTAGATCATCGACGATTTTATATTACCTAAATATGATCTATAAATACTATAGATCGCTCGACGCTCACTACTATTTGRTTTTATATTTTGTCTAAAAATACATCTGTCATTTCAATTTTTCCCGAAATATAGASACGGAACTGATTTTATTACCATTATAGTATATAAACTAAACATTTTCAATTCAAATAATATTATTTATAAATTATAAACAAATATATTTATACCACCCTAGAGGAGTATTAAAATAGAGTTAAGGGACAATTTGGTAATTACTACTCTCGGTAAGCAAACTACAGCATACTATAGAATTTTTTTTCGCTTAATAGAAGAGTTTGCCCCCGCGCTAATATCTAAAAGTCGGCGCCTCTGTGTACCATATAGGTATTATATTCATTTTTAATGTTTTCTATTTTGTCTTTATTTTTTATATTCTTTAGTAGCTTATTAAGACATTAATTTTAAAAATCTTCGACTTATTCGTGTCTTTAAAATTACGATTGAGACCAAAAAATAACTTAAACAGCTTTTCTAGGTTATAAAACTTTTTATAAGTAATTTGAAGGGTTTTGCTATTTATCTAGTCGAGTGTCAAATATCATACTTAATCGTACAGTTAATATTACTAAATATCATGCCTATGTCAGAAAAAAAAAATATAAATTAAGCGTTCTACATAATTTTTATTGGGATGGTTAGGTAACTCATATAGTCATATCTATTATGATTTGGAGGTTTAACCATTAATAATATGGGGTTTGGTAAGTAGGTAAGTTCTTAGTTCTTAACCTAATGTACGAAACATATTATCAGAAACAGTTAACAGTTACATAAAAAAGTTTCTACTCGAAAAATAGACATCCGTATCTACACCACGGAAAAAATAAATAAATCACGGGGGTAAAGACGAGACACTGAGTATGATATATCATTATAGAGCCCGTGGTAACATAGCAGTTCTGGACATGGACACACAACACACGTTTGTATTGTTTACAAAAATGCAATTATTATAGGTATAAATTTGAAAGCTTATTATTGTTTTACACTCGAATATCGCATTTTTTCTGTATTAGCTTATTATATATTTTTTAACATGAGATTTAGTGTAAAAGAATGTGTGAAAAAAACGTTAATCACTTGAAAGAATATTTGTGAAACATGTTCATTATTTAAAAAGTTTTTCATCGGGGACAATTGTCCGCAACTTGAGTATTAAAAAGTTTAAGAAACATCGATGTAATGAAACTCATGAATATCGTGATATAAAATATTGTAACAAACGGTCAAAAAGTAATATTAATCCAAGACAAAAACAATAATTAACAAAATTAATATTAGTGGTTAATCAGTAATTACATCACACAAAAACACAATGTACTAATTAGAAAGTAAGCGCATCTCTGCTGGACTAGTGCTATAGGCACTATAAACTATTGTACCTTGTACCCATGCAGTACTCATACAGTAAAACCAGAACAATGCTAAAGATTGTTGAGAAATCGGCCAATATCACGATCCCAGGTTAAAACAACTAAACCTAGTTTGAAAAAATAGTAGGTTTACAACTTGTCTAATTCTTAATTATGTCTTAGAATTTCGTAAATCATTATAGATATTAAAACAAGTTTACAATTTCATGTATTTTTCAATATTTTTTTCTGTATATAAAATTTCTACCTACCTACGTGTTTAAATGCGGTCATTTAAAATTGTTTGTTAAACGAGGGCAATCAAATTAAGTCACATGGAAAAAAACATTAGAAATTCATCTCAAAAATAATAAACATATCTATTGAAACATCTATTGAATTATACCTATTAGTTTTCAGTTGGAAGTACATAATATCATATTATTTAATCTTATAATAGTATAATTTTAATTTTTTAGTATACCGCCTACGTCGTACATGTACCTATTAATAATAATAGTAATTATGAATTAAATTTGGAAAAAACAATAGCTGTAAATTGTGTAATTTTGCATGTCGATAAATTTTTATTTAAGAATCAATACTACCGAGATATAAATCTGATTATCATGTCGTCAAAATTTTAAGTATGAAGTTTCATATAGATAAATATTTCAGATGTTAATGAATATAACTGTTTTTCTTTTTTTTACATTTCATTACCGCCATAACATTTCTAATTATATTTATGCATTTCTACGATACACTTCATGTATGCATATAGAATTATTTAGCAGATGACGTTTTGTAATTATTAAATGCCACAAGGATGTAATATTTTGTTTTCATTAAGGCATTTTAAAGATAATGTTAAGAAAATGTAATAATATAATATGTTACAGAATTATCGGTGTATAAATTAACATTAACATATTATATTTAAAAAACTTCATGATATTTATTTTGTTTTCACATAGGTATATTTATGTGTACCTTATTCTTAAACTAAAACATTTATAGATTTTTTTCTTTGTTTTGTTTAGAATTTATTTGCAATATTTATTGATAGTTGAATGAAAAATATGTATAATGCAAACTTTATCGTAAGTATATGCATGTTGTAAGACTATATTTTGAGGATTTACACTCATTACATTTTTCTAAACTGTTTTTAGTTTTCTTGATAACAAAATATATTGTATAAGTAACGATAAATAAATATGTTTGAGGCACCTAAAGAGTAAAGATTGATAGAGTTTAAATAGGTAATATATGGTATAATATACTATATATATATCTACCTCATAACGGTCTGCATCATACTGCAGACAATGCAAATACCTATGCAACGTCTCAATTAGCTAATAATTATAATGGTTTTACGACGGATCGATTCCATCAACGGACACAGTTGTGTATAACGACAATATTTGTCATATTTACCGGCATTTTTCGAATCGTCCGTGCGCTGAGTTATGCCGAGTACGTATCGTTGTTTCTCCCGATCCTTGTACACGTTCAAATCCAGTCCTCGGACTATAGCGTCACGCCACGATAGCCGATGGTTGTCGAAAACGGCGTCTGCTTTAGCCACGAGGTCGTCGGTTGGAGATCCCGGTGCCATCGTCAAGCCATCGCTGGRACGGCGATCGGAGTCGATCGTTTCCAGCCACAAGTCGCCAGCCAACCGACGGTCGTGCGTCGATTCGCGTAAGCGGCTCAGCGCGCGCGCGATCTCAGACCTCAACCCCAACGGTCCCGACGACGCGTCTCGGTCATCGTTCCGGTAATCCGCGGGCTGCCGGACATCCGAAGCGTCGCAGCATCCCGCCACTGATGTAGCCGCCGCGTGCAGAAGCAACGGCACGAGGCAGAACACGGTCCACCGCATGGCGATCACTGGACGTAGCGGAAGTATCGGCGCATGGCGGTGCAAGTGCACTATACGAACGGTCGAAAGCGACCGAATTTAATTAATATTATTGATAGTAGTAGTAGTAGTAGTAGTGGTAGTATCGACGAAGTAGTTGTGGGACGGTTGAAAACAAATTTGCTTAAAACACCACGACCGGAAATTTAGTACGAACGACGAAACAAACATGCACACGACAATACGATGACTACTACGGACGGACCACTGCGTGGACTGCTATAACATGTCTGCCGGCTTTTTGGCACTCGTCACCATATTATACTTATTAAAAGTAATATACAGTCGATTATGATTCACCGCGTGTTTACCGGGTCATCGTCAAACGAACGTGTACATTCACTCAAATCACTTTCGCGCACGTATGAATGACGAATGACAATAGCCCGTGTGTTGCTGCCGGAGAAGCGACAATCGTATTTAGGTACGTACCTTGTACCTTGTTGTGCCTACCTCGTGCGTGTGCGTATTTATATTTTATGGAGGTGCCCGTGTGTACAATTGCCACAGTACATGGACAGGTATATACATACGACTGTGTTTATCTGTCAGCGCGGCCAATCGAGCATTCCGTCCTCGTCTTCGGCCCACATAAATTAATTTTTTACTATTATTATTATTACTGTCATCATATTATTATTGTTGTTATTGTTATTAAATGCGCGGCGTGTTCACGTAGATATGATGTACGAATATAACATATTATAGTATTATAATAACTGTATTCGGCGCGTGTGCGATGCGTTCGTGCGGTAGCCACGTCGTATCGTTCAATGAGCGTGTTTCTCCGGGTTGTCGCGTCGCCACTGCGGCGGTCACTATATTATATTATATACGCGTACGTAGGTATATAACTTTTATTTGAGTGTGTGTGTGTGTGTATACGATGTACCTAGCCCAACAGAATGTGTGCCGACCACTGCAGCGCAGACCGACGGACGATAACAATTATTGTTGTTCCGTGCGCGCACGCTTCTTCTTATATATGTATTATATTTAATACGTCTGTGTCTATGCCACTTGTGAGTATGTGTGTGTGTGTGTGTGTGTACATAAATATATATATATGTGGCGTGCATACTGCCTACAAGATGACCGACTACATTACTATGATCCGGATTCCTACGAATCACGACCTGTGAGAGCTGTACATAATAATAATATATTATAATATAATGCAGTACACGATACAATATTATCTTCTTCAATGTACATTATTATAATACACTCGTCTAGAATTATAATTAATATTTATAGGTGTACTAGGTACTATATACATTTGAGAACCAGTTTCTATCCCACCCCCATTGTACCTATATATTGTATTATTTAGAGAGTGCGTTTACGTTCCTTATTGGAATACTCGAGTACGTTTGTATAGGTAAATATACTCGTACACATGAAACAGCCAAAAATCTATTTTACTGGGCACACGATTTAGTGGACCGATAGTAGTTTAGGTAGTGTAATAAAGCTGATTATTCTTCAAATCCGGTTTTACAGTTTGTCGTCGCAATGGGTCAAGCTATATATTATATAGTTGATAGTTGTTATATGTGTTTATATGTACCGTACAACGTAGAGTTGTAGGAGCGATATAAACACGTTATAAAGACATATTTTATATGCCTATATCGTATAACGATAACCTATCTATCTGAATGCAAAATGTCAGCAGTTAATACAGTTAAATACATACYAACTAGTGGCAACAGTAGATGGTTTATTGTGATGAATTTGATGATTTCAAAGGACTTAAGAGTCCTCGACAAAAAGTCTACTTTTTATTTATGCGCGGCTTCTAGTTTTGTAGTGTAATAATATTATTAATGTCTAAAAGTATTTTTGTTCATTATTTTAATKTTTAATTTGAAATGACTGCAAGTGACATCGGTAGTCTAGTACTTTATTTTTATATCTAATTTTAAATTAAGAGCGAAGCAATGGATTTGTTTTGTCAATGTATTGATTTCATAACGATGTATGTRTTTCTTTGTGTCTGTGTATACACGATAAATTGTCGAAATAATGCTTCGATTTTCGACTTCAGAAACTTTTCCAGTAGGAAAATGAATCTAGTTGGTGCATTGGGGAGGTCCAGCAGTTATTAATTTAGGAAAAAGTAAATTCTTACGCAAATTCGGTTTTTTACAAAATCAATATCGGTTAAATGGTTGTTGGTGTGATTCTAATGCAAATTACATAGTAGATACGTGAAATTTTCACAGAATGTTCAATTGCCATTTCCTATACCTACTTGATAAGATTTTCAAAATATTTCAAATCTTTTTAAGTTATTAATAAACATTTTCAATTTTCAAGTTTTTTAGTTTTTTTTTTCTATGAATGTCTATAAAATTTTATTCGTTAAATGAAAAAGCTTCTTTTTAAAAATTTTTTTTTATAAATAAATGTATTTACAATCTGTAATATAATAAAACAATAAGTGAATTTGGGAATTTTTTTTACATGGTTCGGAAGCTGAGTGAATGGTGCGTCCATTGACATTTCTTCAAACTGTTTTTTTTTTTTTTATTTAGCGAAGTAAATCGCGGGGCCAATTTTGTTTTAGTCGACGAGGAGGGTTATCCGGCAGAGTCTTAGAGGAAAGGTTTGAAATTAGCGGGTTTGGATGATTATTTGTTTTATAATGAAATTTTGTATAGTGTCTTGAAGCGAGGGTGTGAAGAGTTGGAATGTTCAGGTCTTTGTGGATTGTATGATTWCTAACATACCAAGGTGCATTTGTCAGAAGACGGAGACTAATCGACTGAAAGGATTGGAGAAGATTTAGGTTTGAGTTTTTGGTTGAACCCCAGATTTGAATATCTTATRTCAATGCAGGACGAATTAATTGTTTGTATACAARAGTTTTATCACTAAGTAATATTTTAGAACGGAGAAGTTGACGTAGTTTATGTAGTTTTAGTTTCATAGATTTTCTTTTGGTTTATGAAAAATCTTAAAAATGTAATACAAGGCTCCTAATATATTGTTTAAATGGTAGTTAATAAATATTAAAAACACAGTCACAATTTTTTTTATAAACATTTAAAGTTTAGATTTTCCCAAATACCTAGATATCACGAAAATTAGAAAATTATTTTGAGTTTGAAATTTTCATAAAAATGTATCWTATTGAATCAAGATTTGCTAGATTTTTCATAAGTTTATTTTCATTTCTTTTTAAATTTTTATTCTATAATTTTCAATACAATTTTATTCGTTGGGTCAAAAAKTTTGAAAATTGAATACAAGGTTCCCTGTATGTCATATAATATCTGTTGGAATATGTTAAAAATATATAGGCACATTTTTTATAAACGTTTAAATTTTTAAATTTCAAATTTCGACAAAATTTACAAATTATTTATTAGTTAAAAATTTATAAAACTTTCAACCTTTAAATCTAAWTCACGAAATTGAAAATTGAAAACAAAGTTTTACGTAAGTAGTTAATTCAAACAGTTTTTTTATGGTTAAATTAAGTTTAAATTAGGACGTAATTAATATTAAATAACCAAGAATAACACTTTTAGTTATATCGTTGTAATTCAAAAATATTATTCGTGGATACTTGAAATTTCTAGAGTAGGTATACCTACTTAACAGTCTAATTGTAATAGTTATTGTCGTTATGACTAATGACTTATACTAATATTTTATAGTATAKTGTATATAATATGGATGACTGAGAGAGTAAAGTACATAATGAATTTGATTTGATTAATTTGAAACTTATTTTATAGGTACCTACATCTTTTTTTTTTTAATGTTTACAATATAATTATTAATATAGTACAAAATATCCTAGATTAACAAACCGTCTCCGCTCATAATAGTTTTTCGTACACAATGATATTATTATTTATTACCTATGCCATTGAATTCAAAATTAATACCATTCATTACAMTCATTACAGTAACCTACTTWAAACCTAGTACCTACAGCAGCGAGCGACATCCACTTACTTACTMGCTTTTAAAAATTATATTTAAATTTATATGTTTTGGTTATAAAAATTGTCTCATACCTATTTAAATTATTTATATTAAATTTTACATCTTAAGTTAATTTCTTAAGTTTTTACTTTTTGGCATATTTTTTATTGTACTTTTCCATGATCAATATTCATGGCTATAGGAGACCCTCCACCAATTATATTGGTTGGCTGATTAAATTWGGTCTATTTGGATTTTGTAGCCTTTTGTAAATGTTGTAGCTTTTATACTCAGATTTCCATCTTTCTTGATTTGATTGCTGCTATTCTCAAACTATAATTCACATACATGTAGGTAGAAATAAATTTAGCGGAAACAAAAATCGAACTTTTTTCARTTTGATGAAAATGACTGACACCCCTAGTGTGTACTCCTTCTTTAAAAACAATTATAACTTATACTCTAATCTACTGGAGAGTAAACTATCATTCCTTACATATTCATATTTATATTCGGTAAATATTTATTTTAAAATATATTTAGTATTTTATAATATAAAATTATAAGTTGAAGAAAATGTTTTATGTTCTCGACGTTCTCGTCGTTCTCTTATTAATAATAAGGCAAAATTTATAAAGACAACTGAAATACATTCATTTAAATACATTAGGTTGTATACTGTCAAATTCGATGTTTAGTTTTTAGATTTCARTGTWCAAATTAGATAGGTACCTATTCTATTACAGTGTCAAGACTTAGCTAAAACTGAACATTTTTWTTTTATTTTTAACCACAGAATAAATTGAAAATGTGATTTTGACTAAATTATCGTTGCTTCGAAATTTTTCTAAATTTCAAATTTGACTGGTAATTTATCTAATRTWTTATAATTTAAWGTATTTTAACAAAAATTGTAAATATTTTCAAAAAATATATAGCAAATTTCGATCTATAGCACAGAAATAGTTTAAAATTAWCCCAATTTTGTTGAARAAACTAYATTGAGTGAAGAAAATGTTAATTTTATGAACACTGAAATTAAWYTYATTTAAAATAATAATTTTTAGTTAGAACAAAAAACTAAAATTATTAATTTACGCGTGAATATCCAATTTAATATAGGTATATTTATGGAATCAAGCTCAATTCTTTTTATAATATTCTTGTAAGAAAAATGTATATGGAACATTGTCTTATATTTCAGACAAATTGTTTCAAGTACTTATAGTGTCAATATGAATATTTGATGAAAATATCAAGTCATATAAATTTCAATTTGATGATAATAAAAAATAAAAACAGACATCRTTTTACTATTATTTATTGATCATATGGCCATTAGCTGTTTGTAGCGGGGAATGGTCGGTTTGGAACTCGTAATGTATGTATGGTAAGAATTTGTTGTTAAAACCCCGGGTGGTCACCCATCCGAAAGCTAGCAGCACTGAYTGGTACATATACTCAGAGCGTTTCCGCAATTGAGYGYCACACACATCGTTTTTTTWAAAACATATTTGGCTTCGTTCAGAATCTAAAAGAAATTAATAATAAATTTGATATATTTTTATAGTGCGCAAGGATTAAATTTCAAAGCGTTTTGGAGTGGTAACTTAAAAAATAATACTATAATATCTTATATTAATATAATCCATAGGTTATAAACTTTTAGAAATAGAAAAATATTTGAAACTAAAATAATACTTAAATAGTCAMAAAAATATGAGAGTAATATTATAATATATATTATACTTATTAATACCTATAGGCTATATGTAAGTAGTCTATAACTAAGTACTTTTCAATACAAATATCGCCTACAAATTTATAATTCATATAATATATATACTATTATAGAACTATGCCAACATAAATACAATATAATATGTCTATGCTGACTTAAGATATAGGTACATATAGCTCATATAGAAATA